CGGTACGTGGGCCTCTCACTGTTGTGGCCTCTCCCATTGCGGAGCACAGGCTCTGGACGCGCAGGCTCAGCGACCATGGCTCACGGGCCCAGCCGCTCCGCGGCACGTGGGATCTTCCCGGACCGGGGCACGAACCCATGTCCCCTGCATCGACAGGCGGACTCGCAACCACTGCGCCACCAGGGAAGCCCGCTGCCCAGTATTTTTATGGTAACTTCTTGTTTCTACTTGTCTCCACCTGCTCCTTTTTACTTCACATGCCTCAGAGTAATAAGAAGCCCTCAGTGGGGTGTGGAGAGGTCATTAACCACGGCCCCTGTGCAGGGCACTTTATAGACGCTGTAACCACTGCTGGGCTGTATTCCACTGCCTTGTACGCCAGCAGTGTCGCACCTTATCGGTGACGTAGTGAGGGTCAGAGTCCAGATCCTAACTCAACCCTGCACTGCACGGTGGTCGCAGGTGAGCCGCTTACCTGAACCTCAGGCTCTGATCCACAAGCTGGCGATCAACCAACTTCCTCATCAAAATGAGAGGTAATATTGCTAGCAAAGAGCACCCCAGTAGTGGTTTCTATTTATTACTAGAATAAGTTATTATTAGAGTAAATATACAAGAGCCAGAAATAGCATTCTGTTAGTCCGTATTTCAGTTTCTTTTCACAGAGAAGGAGTAATAACGTAACAATCTTTCTTTAGAACATCTCTCCAAAACCAATACGTTAATTTTGCCATAAATTCGTACCGAAAGCCGGAATGATGGTTTCTGTAGCTGCTGCCAAGGCGATTCCAGACTAACATAACGTTATGACCTTATTATCATTAAAGGGTTATTTCCACATGCTCCAAAGGATGTATATGCTGTAAATCTTGAAGACTCAGAAGTAACATATTTGCATTTAAATAAAAGCCTCTTTTCTGTGCATTTTTAGTACCCAAATGAGTAAATGTGTTTATAGAGAGAGAAGCAAAATCTACTCTGTTATTAAAAAAACGTAATTTATCCAGTAGTTCCGCTGGGCAGGGGAACCACAGTTGGGGTGCCGGTGCAGCTCTGCAGGCTTGAAACCTCAATGCGTCTGCAGCCTCTTTGGTTGGGGTGAGGGCAGCTGCTACAGGGAAACTCCCTGAATGTGCCCTGTCTGTAGGGCCAGGGACGTGGGGCCACGAGGCTGCACTCGCTCTGCGGTGGGCTGAGCAGGGTGTGAGTTCTGATGTCCAGGGACGTGAATGTTCTCGCGGTGGCCTCTGCACGGCAGTGGTTGGCACAGTTGCAGCGGGGACAGCGGGGCTGCAGTGCCAGCTCGGCGTTCTGATGGGGCAGCGCCGAGCACCTCACCCAGAGATGCCGAGCCAGGTGGGCTCTGCGTGCCCAGCACGGCAGGAATAAAACTGCCCGCCTTCCCGCCAGGTCAGGGAAAGCAGACGGGGAAGCGTAAGTGTTCGATGCACGTAATGAAGCTGCAGTCGTTGCATCTGGATCTGGGGTGGGGGGGCGCCTACTTTCTTCCTTCCCAGCTACGTAGGGCCTTCCTCATGGGGTTTATTTCATGCCTTTTAAGAAAACGTTGAGCTTTAGGAACATGGACGCAGCTCTGAAAGCAACCTGACGTCAAGGAGCAGGCAGTTTGTTGTGGATTCTGCAGGTGCGGACCTCACAGCTTTGTTTCTCGGAGCCCCGATTTCACAGGTAGTTTCGGTTTAATTACTGGAGCTGTTTAAAGTGAGACCTGTCCTTCCTTACTCTCGATTTTCTGCAATGTGCAGTGTACCTGACTCAGGACAGACAGACAGAAGGACAGGAGAAGAAAAAGCTTTCCTTCCAGCCCTGCCCCGACGTTGAAGAGAAATAGAACGAAAGAATGAAATGGATAAGATACTAAAGGTGACCTAGTAGCAGAGCGTTTTCTGAGTTGATGCGTTTTTTTCCTGATGAGATAAATTCCCGTCGTCGTATAGAAAGACACGAATGCAGGGCACAGAGGCGACAGGCCCAAGCTGGCAGGCAGACCGGTTCTTGAACACCTACGGCCCGGTCCCGGCCCTGCTTCCCTGCAGAGACCTTCAGATCCGCATGATTTCAAGGTGGCAGGAGACTCAGACACCCTGTTGCCCAAAGTTCCTGTTTTCACACAGAACGCCAAGCTTCTGAGAAGGTGGGAGACAATGGCGAGCATCCCAGAGATAAATTATTGTTCACATCACCCATCATCCAGCACAAACGTGTCACGCATTTAAGAAGCACAGGTGCTGTACAAAAACCCCAAAGGCCAGGAAGAACTCACAGGCCAGGTGCGGTGCCAGAACAGGTGAGGGCAGCACGAGCTACCTGGCCCCCGGGGGCAGGTCTGGGGTCGGGACTGGCTACGGTGTCTGCAGGGCCCCATGTCCAATGTCAGTTAGCCCGGACTCCGAGATGCCAGCAGCCAGAGCGTCATGCCAGGTGCGGAGCCCTCTGAGCCTGAGACCCCGCGAGGGTCACAGGCCCGTAAAGCCGCCCTGTCCGGGGAGAGGAGGACTTCAGCAGGTGGCAAAAAAGCACGACATCTCAGAGGAGGAGTGCTGTGTGTCAGGACGTGAGAAGGCGGTTCCTGGAGGACCTTTGCCCGGAAGCAGGGTGAGTCCGAGCGTGGGGACGTGGGGTTGGCGCAGGTGTGGTCAGAGGGCACCTGGTCCCTCGCACGCAGGAGCGTGCGGTCCCCGCCTCGGTTCCCGGGGTTTCAGCCTCTGTTGCCGTGAGCGCTCACGGGGCCCGTTTGGGCAGCGCCGGCGAGGCCGAGGCCGTGACTGTGAGGGCAGCCGCGCTTGGCTCGGTTCCCGGGGCAGATCGGCTCGTGACGTCCTGAGCCCCGCCACGATGTGCGCGACGGGGGCCGTGTGGGGATTTAACCAAGGGCCAGACGCCAGGAAATCTGTCTTCTCCGAGGATTTTTTTTTTGCAAGGAGTTGAAAGGGGGGTGAGATTGGGGACTGAAGACTCACTGAGAAGGTTGTTCCAGAACTCTGTCGGGAAAATTCCACTCCCCGTGGGTGGAGGACAGAGAGGGAGAATCTGAGGTAGATTTTGCAGAACGGGGCACTTCTGTAAAGAAAAACAGCCAGTTGTGAGACGCCGAAGACCCGTGAGCAGACAGTGGTGGACGCGGGCAGCCGCTGCAGCGGTGGAGGTGGCCACAGGACGGCCGGGAGGCAGCATGCGGGACGCCTGGGACAAGATGGCCCGCAAGACAGAGGATGGGAATGGGGCGGCCAAGCCAGTAACCGAACGGAGCCGCCGGAGGGCAGGGAGGGGGTGGGCCCCGACCAGCAGCGGCTCTGGGCTCCCTCCTCCCCGGGCTTGCTGAGTTCTTAGAAAGAAACGGGGGTGAGGACCAGCAGACTGTGACTTTCTTGCTTCTCCCGCAAGAAGTTTCAACAGTAACTGTGAAAGAGCCACAGCAGCAGCCAGGAGAGCGAGTACCTGCGCTCCTTTACACGCAGGTGGCACAAGGACTTCTCAGCATGACGTGATGTTTTTCTTCCTTTTTTTTTTTTTTTTTTTTTTTGCGGCACGCGGGCCTCTCACTGCTGTGGCCTCTCCCGTTGCGGAGCACAGGCTCCGGACGCGCAGGCCCAGCGGCCATGGCTCACGGGCCCAGCTGCTCCGCGGCATGTGGGATCCTCCCGGACGGGGGCACGAACCCGCGTCCCCCGCATCGGCAGGCGGACTCTCAACCACCGCGCCACCAGGGAAGCCCTTTCTTCCCTTTTTAACCTCTCTTTGGAAGCCGCCTTGCTCTGCCAGAGATGGCCTTCCGGGAGCAGTGAGCGCTTTGTCCTGAGCTGAACTGAAGGACCAGCCGGGCTTTTCCTCTTCAGAGACGCAGAGCTGTGAAGCCGAGTCTCAGCCCACGTGGGAGGGGTGGGCCGCTTGCCTCATTCCTCCCAGTCAGCCCCGCTCTGCTACTGAAACCTTAACTGCTCGGTGATACACACACGGGGCAGTGGGACGCAAAATAGTGCTACCGCTTCCTGCAGCCCTGGTCTCGGCAGTGGGCTTCCACCGAGGGGATCTGTACCGGTTCACAGAACAGCATGGAAGCTATCCCCCTTGAAGCCTGCCAGAGAGGAAAGCCATGTCTGCTTCTGTGGTATAGGGCAGCCCAAGCCACCGCCACGGGCTGTCCGCAAAGTGAAAAGACGACCCACGGAATGGCAGAAAATACTTACGAATCGTGTATCTGCCAAGAGTGCATAACAAACAGCTTATATAACTTACAGCTCAACGATCAAAAGAAAAATAGTCCAGTTCAGAAACGGACCAAGGATCTGAACAGACATTTCTACAAAGAAGATACACAGTCGGCCACACAGGGAAGGGTGTGCACCATCCTTAGTCCTTAGGGAAATGCAAACCAAAGCAACCATGAGACACCACGTCATGCCCACGAGGATGACAGCAGTAGAAAAGGGACATTAACAAGTGCCGAGAGGACGTGGAGAAGTCGAGAGCTGCACACATCGCTGGTGGGGACGTGAAACGGGGCAGCTGTTGGAAAACAGTCTGTCCTTCCTCAAAAAGTGAAATATGGAGTTGCCGTGTGGCCCCGCGTTACCAGTCATACGTGTTTACTCAGGAGGACTCACTCTGTAAGAACTCGGGGCTCCTTCCTAACCGCTGGCACCGGCTCGTCCCCACTGACACGCGTTTAAATTAGACCTGTGATGATCGGGGTCGCGTTGTGGGAGGGTGCACATGTGCGCGGAGGGAGGTGTCTGTGGAGGTGAGCATAGCACGGGCATCTCGGAGGAAATGGCGGCCCCCCGGCTTTGGCTGCAGGAGGGGCCGAGGGCCCGAGCCAGTTGCCCGCCCCGAGAGCAGGGTCCTCGTCTTCCCTCCCGGGAGGTGCGCGGGGACTCCGGAGGGAACATGCGGCCCCAGGCAGGTGGTGATGGCAGGACTGGGCGCTCAGGCCGTCGGGGGCGTCTGCGAACTCCAGAATCACTGTCACGCCTGAGTCCCGGCTTCAGGACGACCCCCAGGCCGCTCTCCAGCCCTGCCTGTCCAGCTGCAGTCTTCGCTTAAAACAAGGTGTGGTGCCCTTGGACGGGCAGCCTCCCTTCTGACAAAATCAGAGACTCACGTGTCCCCCTCGGTCCAGCTCGGGAGTGCCGCGCGGCGTGGGTGCAGCGTGAGGGGCTAACTGGCGAGCCCTTTCCACGCGGGTAGGCATGCGAGGATGGCGCCTTCGGCCGCCTTGGCCACGTAGTGGGTCGTAAAGAGCCTCCCGCACTGTTCTCAGTCCTTGAGGAAGGGGACAGAGGCGTAAGCCTGTTTTTTTCCTAGGGGGTTTTAAGTTACCTCTTTTCAGGCTAGAGAGCTGTGCAGGATTGTGATCTGCTGTGGGCTAAGAGGACTTCTTTAAGGGTAGTGTTTCTTCTCACTGTGTCTCCAAGCTTCACCCCACCTGCCCCCTGCCAATCCCTGGTAGGCAGTGACCACAGCTGCCCAGCACCGGCCCGTCCACCATGGGGACAAGTTCCAAAAGTTCCCTCTCGGGGGCCCCGTGGAGCAGAGTTGTCAGGATGGAGACCTGGAGCAGAGCACAGCCCGGAGGCTCGGGAAGGGCCTGGTCAAACGGAGAAGCAGCAGGTGGCCACCCGGGGCCCGGACGGGGCTGGACACTGAGGGGACCCTGCGAGCTTGGCGGGGGCTTAGCTGCCCGTACAGGCCTCCTCGCAGGCAGACGTGGCCCTCATTCCCGCTCAGGTTTGGGGGTGCTGATGGTCCACAGGCGTCCAGGGGCGCTGCTCAGCACCTGCGGATCTGGGGTGACGGTGCGCTTGCTGTAGGTGGTTGAGAGCAGGTGAGATCCGGGGCGCCAGCTGAACACGCTGGCATGGTGGGGACGACAGTGCCACCTGAGGCTTCATGCGCAGCCCAAAGGGCGGGTCCGTGACGGCGAGGTGGGGTGCAGCTCCGTGCTGTACCCCCGACGCCCCGCCGTCGCCTTCTCCTTGGTCTCCGCAGAGCCAGCTGGAGGCCCACCAGGAGGAGGGCATGGTGGTCTCACACATGGCCATTGCCGGCGTGGGTATCTGGATCGCCTTCACCTCGGGGTCCACACTCCGCCTCTTCCACACGGAGACGCTCAAACATCTCCAGGACGTCAACGTCGCCACCCCGGTCCATCACATGCTGCCAGGTGGGCCCCGGGGCGCTGGTGGGCGGTGCCACATCCCCCGGGGCTGGGGCTCGGGGCTGTCGGGTGACCCGAACTAAAGCGCCCTTCTTAGAGGTCAGAGCCGCCCATTGCAGACGGTTTAGTGCTGTTAATAAAGCACTGGGGTGGGGGGCGGGGGCAAGGATCTGAGGTTGAAGGGCAGAGAAAAGGAGACTCTCTGGTGGGGGTGCTCCACGGGCCTCTGCCAGCCCCACGCGGGAAGGGTGTTCCTGGCAGCGGGAGTCAAACCAGCCAAGGTGCGGGAGTGGGGTGTGGGAGCCGCATGTGGCTGGTGTGTGGCTAGTATGTACACGCGTGAGCTTGTTAGGTACGGGCGTGTGGTTAGTATGTACACCTGGGCTTGTTATGTACTGGCCTGTGACTAGTATGTACACCTGGGCTTGTTACGTATGGGCATGTGGCTAGTATGTACATGTGTGGCTTGTTATGTACTGGCATGTGGCTAGTATGTACACCTGGGCTTGTTATGTACGGGCGTGTGGCTAGTATGTACACACATGAGCTTGTTAGGTACGGGTGTGTGGCTAGTATGTACACGCATGGGCTTGTTATGTACGGGCGTGTGGCTAGTGTGTACACGTGTGGGCTTGTTATGTACGGGTGTGTGGCTAGTGTGTACACCTGGGCTTGTTACGTATGGGCGTGTGGCTAGTATATACACCTGTGCTTGTTATGTACTGGCGTGTGGCTAGTATGTACACCTGGGCTTGTTATGCCCTGGCATGTGGCTAGTATGTACACCTGGGCCTGTTATGTACGGGTGTGTGGCTAGTATTGTATGTGTGTGGGCTTGTTATGTGTGGGCGTGTGGTAGTATGCACACGTGTGGGCTTGTTATGCACGGGCGTGTGGCTAGTGTATATAAGCATGTTGCAAATGTGTGTATGCATGTAACTCATATGTATATGCGTTGCTTGCCGTGTACAGGTGTGTGTGCCTGGTGTGTACTGGCCCACGTCTCCACAGGGCTTTTAGGACCAGGCTCACGCCACACGGCATTCTGCTCCCTTCCCACGTTGGCTGCGTCTCCTGGCTCCCGGCTGGGGAAGAGAAAGATCCGGTGTGCAGCCACGCGGTGGGCTCCCACCCACACCGCGTGAACAGACCTGTGCAGGAAGCCCCCCCAGGGCGCTCGAGTCCCCAGTCCCTGTTGCACCAAAGCCCAGCGGTCACGTACCTGTGACCACGTAACCTGTTTGCATCTGGGCCACTGGCTGTGCTTCATCTTGTTTTCTTTCCTTCTTTCTACCCCCCAGTTAACGACTCCCTTGTTTCTTATCCACCTGCGTGGCTTTCACTGTTCAGGTCAGGATCCGCCTGGGTTCCTGTGGAGCCAGGAGACCATGTGGTCAGGTGGGGACACCTGGCGGCCCCACGTCCCCGGACCCCTTGGCAGGTGTGCCCCCGCCTGCTGTCACCATCACCACACACAGTCCCTGCCCCCCTCCTCGGGTTCCCCGCCACCCTGGGCCTCCTATCCCTGTGCCAGGACTTAGGGCTTTTTCTCCCAAGCCCATGTCCCATGCAGAAGGAGCCTTTGGGTGGCGTGTTCTCCCGCATCTGCCTGCTGTGTGCGAAATACCTCCAGGTTCACCAATATCCGGGGATTCTGTGCTTTGTTTGCATCTCATATTTTACTCCCAGGTTTGTAGCTGCTAGACCTGGTGAACTGTGAGGAAGGTGGACAGTTAGAGCAGAAATCAGGGACACTTAGAATGAGAGTTCTCTTGCTACGCCCGGGCAGTGGTTCTTGAATGTGGTCCTCAGAAAGGCGTCTGACGTTGGTCTGATTTTCTTGCATTTTTGGGAACAGGGAGGCCAGACACCCATGACTTGTCTGTCCTTCTTTGAATCGTCTTACCCTTGGGCCAGTGTTTCACGGTGAGAAGTGTTTCATTGTGTCCTCTCTGACACTTAGCTACTTGTGTCAGTGCGTGTTTGCACCCTATGTGAGCAGGTCCTTGGACCACCGTCATCCTGGACACGTGTGTAAACCTCATTCTAGAGTTGTGTTCATGATGTTGCCCAAATGGGTTATATGGCAATAACGTGTAAACTGTCCTTTCGTGCTCTCACTGGAATATAAAATTCCGGTAGGTTCTAGAGATGAAGCCTTCCCAGGCCAGAAAGAACACAATTGGAAAATAAAATTTACTGTACTATACTGTAACTCATGACTTTTTGTAGCAGAATTGAGAACCCTATTTAGTTCCCTAGAGGTCTCAGTGTGCTTTCCCCTGTGGACTGGGACTCGTGTGATGAGCTGTATCTTTCTGTCTGGTTTGGAGCTCTGTTCTGAGCACCATTAGTTCGAGCGCTTTGCTGTAAACCACATCATACTTGGCAGACATAGTGGATGACGGCGCCTGGGGTCAGCACACACGTTTCGAGGGGCCGTCAGTCCACCTTCCCGGCCCCCGAGGTGGTTACAGCCCGTGGTTCAGAGGGCGGCATCTCCTCCGGGTCACGAGGCTGCATGAGTCACGGAAGGACGCAGCTGTTTCCTCTTCGTCCAGAACAGTCAGGGGAGGGTATTTGGATGAAAAAGTGCTGAGACCCCCACCCCCTGTCAGATTAGCCTTCCTAGGTCCCCGCTGAGTGAGCACGTCGCTTTCCAGGGGTGACGTAACGAAATGAAGTGGCACGATTTTCTGTCTAATACAGAAGTCAGTGTGACTCTCCTAAGTACCATCAGCCACGTCAGAAGGGAATTCAGCAACTTAAACTGCACTCAAGGTTATTTATGAGTTAGGAACAGACCGAGCAGTGGATTTCGTGTTCCCTGGGCTCTGGTGCCATCCTGCGCTAACCAGCAGCTACTCAACCAGCAGTTGGTCCTGAGCTAACTAGCAGCTTCCTTAACCAGCAGTTGATCCCGCGCTAACCAGCGGCTCCTTAACCAGCAGTTGATCCCGCGCTAACCAGCGGCTACTCAACCAGCAGTTTGTCCTGAGCTAACTAGCAGCTTCCTTAACCAGCAGTTGATCCCGCGCTAACCAGCGGCTCCTTAACCAGCAGTTGATCCCACGCTAACCAGCAGCTCCTGTACCAGCAGATGATCCTGAGCTAACTAGCAGCTTCCTTAACCAGCAGTTGATCCTGCACCAGCAGCTCCTGTACCAGCAGATGATCCTGAGCTAACTAGCAGCTTCCTTAACCAGCAGTTGATCCTGCACTAACCAGCGGCTCCTTAACCAGCAGCTGATCCTGCGCTAACCTGTCCGCCTCCCTGGTCTCTGTCCCGGGTGGGAGCCGGGAGTGGGTTCCAGTCATAGCCTTTCCAAGCACACTTGGAAGGCTGGCTGCTTCTCCTATTCTCTCCCCTGTTTGTGTGTTTCTTGGGAGCATTTGAATAAACCTGGCCGGCCTCTCCTGTGCTCCTGTGTCCCCGTGTGAGAGGACAGCAGGGTTCCCGGAGAGCGTGCATCACACAGCGGCCAGCTCCCCCTGCCCCTTCCTGTTGATAACTCACTTCCACCCCATGCCAACTGCAGCCTTTATCGGCATCTCTGCCCTGCCCCTCCCACCCCGCCTCCCCCTTAGATGCTGAGTGGGTGGCCCCTCTGCCCACGGCTTGGCCAGCTCAGAAGGCCACAGCTGGTGCTTCCACAAGGAGTAGCCTGGATGCCTCTCAGCAGCTCTGTCTGCAGACCCTCCGGAATGGGAAAATCTCCACGTTCCCTAATTACCATTCAGTTAAACTTTCATATGTGAAATTAAAGATGAATCCTAGACTACTTTGAAAATGGAACAAACCATCATTCGCTGGAACTGAAGGCTTTCAAACCAGTTAGAAAGAAAAACATCCCAGTTTTCCCAGCTTTCGCGTTTGTTATGATGAAGTGAAGGTTTGGGGGTGTCCTTCCAGGAGCACCTCCCAGAAGCCCCGGGGTTGTTTCCGTTGGTCTTTCCCACCGACCATGTAGTTTTTCCCCTTCTCGTCATGTTTCGTAACCTTTCCCCACACGGTGACTTTTCCCCATCCCGACGCCACAGAGGGCACCTTCTGTGCCTTTGAATTGTTTTATCCTTTCTCTTTAGAAAGATCCACTTCTGGAGAGAGGAGTTTCTTTACAGAGACTAGAGAGTTTCCCAGATTTTCACTGCATATAACGTAACACAGATGTAAAAGCTGGAGACAGGACGAAAAGTCAGATGTTCCTAATATGCTGTTTACAGGCAAAGAGGCGGGAAAATTCCTAAGGGGGATAAAAGGTCACTTTCAAAATGCATTTATGAATGAAAATAAGTAGTAAACTTTTATCCTTTGTAATCTGAAAGTAAGATCTTAATGTTTTTATTAGTGGTTGGAAATATTTCACATCATGTTTTACGAGGATCTGTTAACCCTCCCTATGGAGGTGGGCTGTTTGAAATTCCCTTTTCCTCATTAGTTTTCTTTAAAGCCAAGTGGTAGATTAAAAGTATTTCAGACGCTTCTTTAATAGTCCTAGGCCGATATTTTAAAAATGATATATTCTCTGTGAAAGAAAATTTAATTCACAAATTCCTTTTTTGGAGAAGAATTAAAGGAAACTCAGTTTCCCAGACCAAAATATTTCAGGACGATCAAGTAAATCACAGAACAGTTTATTCATACAAACAGTTTTCGCTTATATGCAGGACTTGGCTACCAAAATGAGGGTGTGGGTGGACTTAAATGATATAAAAACCCACAGCCAACCTCTGAACCGAGCCCTGAGACCACGTCTTGAGAGTCTGCTTGTTTTTATTGTTCCCAATACTTTCGTGTGTTAAAAAGGAAATTTATTCACATCTAGGACCACAGGGCTATACCACTGCCCCAGTTTCTATATTTCTTCCAGGAGGGTGGCTTCAGAAAGTGGCTGCAAAAGGGAAATAATAGCTCTGTCCCCTGTCCATCCCGTTGTCATGACATTCTCCACGTTGGTGTTGAGAAGGAAGATATCCAGATGGAAAGTAACCTGCTGCCCCTGTGCACCAGGGCAGTGGCGGAGGCCGTGCTTCACTGGAACAAAACAAAACACAGAGCAGCGAGCCAGTTCCCAAAGTCGCCTCCACCAGCTGCTTCCACCAAAGGTTCCAGGAGGGTTGGCGAGGAGGGTCTCAGCTTTGCGGGTTTGCTTTCTGTCTCTAGCGTAGCTGTGGGGAATCTTTAGGCCACGTGGCATCAAGTGAGGCTTCTGCTCTGGAAGGCGCACCCGTGTGTCCTGGGACGTTCCCTGGTCCCTGGAGCACCTCTCTGAAGGGCTGCCCCACGATGGGACCACCTGCCCCTGGATAGCAATCGTTGTGAGCTGTGCCCAGAGCCGTGTTTCTAAATGGCTTCTGCAGTTCTCCCTGGCGTTTGGAAATGACAGCTCCCGGCCCAGGTGTAGACAGACACACAGGTCCCAGGCGTCTCTAAAGCCCCAGCTGCTCCCGTGGGCACGCATTTGGATTCTTGGGAACTTAATACATTAGCTTTTCTTCAAAAAATATGCCTGTATTTAGAGGTAAAACCAGATCTTTAGTTTTTGTAGCTGTTGTCTCGGTTTGGTTTCAGTGTTCCGTTGCCTAAATAATCATAAAATAACTTCAGTGAGCATGGTGACCTGCCTTTGACTTTGGTGTTTAGATCATTTGTTTTCATACTTTTTATCTAAGATGAACTTAAGTCAAAGGCAGAGATACTGAAAATGACTCATTTCTAGAGAGCACAAGAATCCAGCTGTTTTGAAGTGCCCTCCATTCCTTCCTGGGAGCAGCCGCATGACCCTTCTCTGCTCTCAAGCTTGAGTGCTGAGCAGAGACGCCAGGAGGGGCTTAAAGCCCCTGTCGAAGGTGGTGGTGCTGTGGGCAGGGTCAGGGCAGGGGTGGGATGCTCAGGGCCCAGACTCAGTCCCTGAGACGAGAGTCACGGGGAGACACGCACCTTTCACTCCACTTCCTAATGTTGTCAGGCTGACCCACCTCTCTGGGCCTCAGAGCCTCGACTGCAAGACGAAACAAAGCAGAGCGAACAGCCAGAAGCTCCAAAGCCCTTGGACTCCAGTATTTGGTATCCGCGTGTCCCGGACTTTCCCACCGAGGCCATGAGTGGTCTCCTTCTGACGGAAGCTTTGGGTGGTCGCTTGCGTCTCTCCCCTGTGATGCTGAGCGCGGGCTGCACTGGGAGCCCGTCCTACCTGTGAGGTCCCCTCTTACCTGCCTAGGTGGGCTCTTGCTCACACAGGCCTGCCGTCTGACGTGCGTGTGTGCGCGTGTGTGTACGTGGGTGTGTGCAGCTCTGCCTGGAAGTGGATGATTTACATGGATGGTTCGGGGTGGGGGTGTGTGATTGGCTCTGGAAGGGTCGCGCCAGCGGTGCTGAGAGCACCGTGCACGTGTCCTGAGGCCGTGGCCGTGCTCTGCCAGGGTGCAGCCAGGACGCCCCCCAGATCTCTCTCTTGCTCATCCGGCTGAAGGAGTCGCGGTGTGTGGCTAGGGCTCCGGTGACACCCGCTGGCCGGGAGGGCTCGGGGCTGCTCGGGGAGCATTCTGGCGGATCTGTAGGGTTTCTGGGCAGTTCCCGGGGCCCCTGCCCCAGTGTGTGGGCTGCAGAGGCCAGACTGTGGGGCACAAGCCTCTCCTGTCCCCCAGGACACCAGCGGCTGTCTGTGACCAGCCTGCTCGTCTGCCACGGCCTGCTGATGGTCGGCACCAGCCTGGGCGTCGTGGTGGCCCTGCCCGTCCCTCGTCTGCAGGGGATCCCCAAGGTGACCGGTGAGTACACCCCCCGAGTGCCTGCGTCTCCCAGGCCTCTGTCCTGTATTGTATTCTCGTCAAGCCCATGGGTCTGTGGTCAGCTGTGTCTTTGCTTAAACAGTGTAAATTACTTAGGTGGCTTTCTCTCTCCCTTCGTCCCTTCCTTTCTTCCTTCCTTTCTTTCCTACTATAAACACTATGTGTATTAATTTGAATCATCAGGTCATACTTTTGTCTTCCTGTTTCTGACATCAGTGGTCCAGGGAGACCCTTATCCCCAGGACGTGTTTTCACATTACCTTTTTTGCCACCTGTTGGTTTTGATCATTCTATACAGTTTTGCTCAGTGAAAATGGATGCTTTTTAATGTTTTGCAAAGAAGGAGGCCCAGCATCTGAGAAAGCTCAGTTGTGCTGTTTTGCAGTGTTGCGGGGAGTTCAAATGGGCACAGCCTTTTTGGAAAGCACTTTAGTGTTTAGGACTTGAAGATGCTTTTGCGTCAGGAGTCAGGGTTTCCAACTGAGGAAATTCTGTCTCGTGAAGCCGCCAAATCTAGGAATAAACCATGATGCAGAAAGAACAGGAAACAGCCTAAACACCCAGAATTAGGAGTAGGGAGACGCCTAAGACAGTGGTCGCGTTGCCATTTTAAAACGTAACACAGCCAGTGAAAATGATGTTGGCAGAGAGCTTGGAATGATACAGGGAAATGTTAATTCTGTAAGTTAAGTAAAACCAAGATCTTAAAATTTTATGTCGATTATGTAATAACTCTCAGAGAAAAAGCTTTGTAGGAAACTCATTGAAATGTTAATAAAGATCTGTCTATAGTTTCTTCCTACTGTCAACACTGGAATATTTCACTCTGACCGCAGGCAGCCCTTCCTTCCCTCAACAAGCTTTCACGGGTCTACTGCAAATAGGTCTGTGCTTTAGATAAATTCCTATTTTGTCATGATCCACCTGTTAGGATCATGGAATTCCAACTTGGTTTATTCATTTCTTAACTGCTGGCTTCGTTATGACATGCCTGTGATACACGCAGAAGCTATACATGATGACTACGGGCAGTTTGAGTGGTAAAAGCTCAGGAGTTAGAAGCTCTTCCCGTCACAGCTGGGGACGCTTCTCCCCAGCAACCAAACATAGCCGTTCTCCTGCTGGGTCTCACGTCACCGTTCCATTGGTTTTTCTCCATAGTTTTGCTAACTTGTACCTTCTTCAAAAAAGAAGTCTTTAATTGTGCCATTTTCACATTTTCTATCATTGTCTCGTAGTGTATGTATTCCTCTCCGACTGCTTTCTTTCCACATTATTTCTGAGGCGCATCCTTGTTGGTCACGTGACTGTAGCTCATGCGTGTCACTGCTCTGTAGCGTGGCTTTGTTCCCCATGTGACGTACAGTGGGTATTTAGTTGTTTCCTGTTCTGTGTGTTACGTGCTATGCCTCTGTGGGGGTTCCTCTGGCCACCCCTTCTCATAGGGACTCGGGTTCCTCTGGCTGTGTGTCTGGGAGGGGACCACAGGTGTGTAGGAAACACTCACATTCAGGTTCACCCAGTGATGCTGGGATGTTCCCCTGGGCCGTTGCGTCAGATCACACCTTCATGCCCGGTGTCTGGGCGTCCCCATCCCTTCACCCTCCCCCAGTACCCGCTGTTGGTGGAGTTCTTGACTTGTCCTTCAGCTCATGGAGGAAGTCACCTCGCCCAGCTGAGGAATCCTGTAACGTCCTCTGCTTCGGCCAGAGTGGGAGAGAGGTGCTAGGGCCCTGTTTCAGCCTCAAAGCATTTGGTGAAAAGGGCATCTACCCCCCATTTCTGTCACCTCACCGGCGAGGCGCTTAAAAATGGACATCCCGTTCCTGCCTGGCCCTTGGAGTCTCGGTGTTATGGGGGAGTCTGCATTTCATAAAAAAGGCCTACGGGGAGTTTCTGGTGCTTCTTTCAAAATTCAATTCACATCACCCTTGAACTGAAGAGCCCCCATTTTAATCGATACCATAGGACTAACTTATTCTAAACCACAGAATCTTTTTAAAATGAAAAATGGCAGGAAGCTACTTATAGTTTAGGTGTCTTATTCCTAACATTGACATATTTCAGGCATTTAAGTTTTTAAAACCAAGATTTAGGGAAACTTTTCCTAAATATATTATCTTAGAGCAGGCAAGAAGGCATTTATACAGAGAACAGGAAAATAGCTACTTTATCACTTTCAAAGTACCATGAAAGTACCAGAACTGAGATACCGCTGACGAAAACCACGGTTGTATTTTAGACCGTGGTTTTGAGAGCATTCTCGGGCTTCACTAGAAATCCACGAGAACGTGGTCTGGAAGCTGTTTTTCACTCTGAGCTGTCGAGTGCAGGGTTTTGCCGTGTGGACGGGGGGTGCCCGGGGCCCTGCCCGGCATGCGGAGCCCTGCTGAGCGCTGTGCCCTTTCAGGACGAGGCCTCGTCTCCTACCATGCTCACAACGGGCCCGTCAAGTTCCTGGTCGTGGCCACAGCCGCCCCCAAGGCGGACAGAGACAAGCCCAGGGACAGCCCGCCCCCCGGTGCCGACCCCCAGGATGAAGACCAGAGGGACACGCTCCCCGGTGAGGGGCCCGGGCCCTGCCCGAGCCGCAGCGGCCCCGACACCGTCTGGCTGGGGGCATCGCTGGGCTCCCTCGCCCAGGCCAGCGACGTCTCGTCCACGTCTGGGTCCCCGACGCCTTCCCAGGGCTCGGGCTCCCTGGGGCCCCGCTCAGAGGAGAGCTTCGTCCAGGACCCCCTGCGGCTCCCCTGCAGCTCCCCCGGCCGAGGGCGGCGGGCCAGGAAGGCCAAGGCCAGCTCCGTGCTGGTGGCCTGCGGTGGACAGGGCCACCGGCGGGTGAGCAGGAAGGCCAGGCAGCAGCGGCCGGAGGAGTTGGCCTCGTCCGTCATGGTCTGGCAGATCCCCCTGCTGAATGTGTGAGCCAGGGTCGAGATCCGGGGGTGGCCTTTCAGCCAAGTCACACACCCCGAGCGGTCCCGCCGCATCTGCGCTGGCTGGGCGTGAATCGCCAGCCGTCTCGGGGCCGAAAAGTGCAATATCGTCAAGGGGGCGTCTCCGGCAGCCCCTCCCTCCACCCCAGGCAGGGGAGCCCCGTGTGAACGCGCATGAGGAAGCGGGGTGGACGCCGTGTTTGAGTGGGTGGGGGTCCCGGGAGGATGCTCCCCCTCTGACCCCCGTGGTCCTTAATAAACACGGGACGCTGCAGACCTGTTCTCATAGCCTGTCACCTAGAGAACTTGCAGACTCACAACTCACGGGGAAATACAGCATATTCACTGGTGGAGGCGTTTATTAACAATCTTCAAGTAATTGTACTTGATTCAGATTCACTACTTTTATTTATATTGTATATCTTTTAACTCCAGAATAGAATTTGTAACAATGAAGAAAGCCAGGTAACACATACCAGGCCGGGTGGTGTTACATGCTTTCTGAGTTGAACTGAGTTTTCCAAAGTGGTATGATGCGTGTACTGTATATTTTTAACGAAGTAGTATTTTTATATCGCATTTTTCTATTAAAAAAATTAACAAAGTTTTAGTCACTATGTTATCTGTAACATTTCACAAATAATGTTTGCTTTGAACGAAAATCCTCAATGCCTATCAACATTTAGACTCAAGCGTCAATGCCAAAATATCCACGTTGGAGATGTGTGTGTTTTAGTGTCTCAGGAGACGTAGAAGGTGTCTTGGTCCATCCTTTCCTGCTGTGTTTGCATCTGTCGACCAGGAGTGCTTCTAGCTTTGAATGCATGTCCTGAAGGATGCACGGTGCCGGTCAGGGTGGGCACCGGTGCTCGCGGCGGACACAGGACACAGGAAAGGTGGCCCTTGGTCGGCAGACTGACACTTAGGGCCCATTCTGTGGGCGTCGTGCACAAGTGATCCGTGAGTTCGCTGTGCTCCACGTGTAATTATCTATCAATGTTCTACTTACTGGATGGTTAAGAAAAACAATGCAGGTCCACCCGAGATTAATGTCTCAGCACTTTACAGGTGACTAAAAATGCTAATTTTATGACTTTGCCAAATATTTTCCAAGGTGCATGTGTGCCCCCATGTGAAAGAAATATCTCCCCCAGCCTTTCTTAAACTATTAGCTGCTATCTTATTTCATGAATAAAGTCTTTTTATTTAAAAATACTATATTGTGAGTTGCCTTTTTTCCTGTGAAACGCAAAGGGGCAGTTAGGTTCGAGGGACAGTCAGGTGGTCCTTTCCAATGTGGCATCCCCAACGTGCTGGTTTGGGAGTTTACGTGTGGATTCCAGAGATGGGCACAATGTACGTGTCAGAGAGTGCTTTGAATTCCAAGTCGGTGCTGAGAAACTCTAGAGGCGCATGTGCTTTTGCCAGTTTTTATTTTGAGTGACATCATGAATTGGTTTAATATAAAATATAAAGAGAAGTGTCTAAAGTCAGCTCCATACTGTTTGTACTGATTAAAAATATACAGTTTCTCCGTGTTTTCAGTGTCCACATAAAACAGAAGTACTTGGATATGCCTTTTACTTAAACCTTGATGCTCAAAGACTGTTTGGTCTTCATCAGCACCTCAAAAAACTCAACTTACAACTACCACATTTTCTTATGGGATAAATAAGTAAAAAATAAAAATGGTGCCAGCCGAGGTTTCCACTTACATTGTAATATTGGTGACGTATTCAGGAAAGCCTTGCTGTCACTCACGCCCATCTGTCACTTTAACAGGTTTTACTTTCCAGCTGTGTGGTGAAGCTTTCAATATCACTTTATTCTATTCCCATCTTTTAATGAAAGTATGAGTAGTCACTCTGGGACTCGGCCCTGCCGAGAGGCCCTGGTTCCAGCGCAGGGAAGGGACGCCGTGCCTTTTGAACCTGCAGTGCTCACAGCAGGAGTCCGGACCCTGGAGCCCGGAGAGGAGGTTTCCTTCCAGACGGTCTCTTTCCGGTGACCGGACTCTGGGCCTGAACAGAATTCATGCTGGGCTCAGGACTCCCTGAATTAGTATGTGTAACTGCTTCTCTCTCTGACAAGCTGCAGGAAATGGGATTCTTTGCAAGTGGAATCATCTGATTTGATTCTCTAAATCAAATCCCAAAGTATCTTTTTCTGTAAATATTTTCATATATTGAATTTGATAAAAATGTTCTAGATCCTGGGGACAGAGGGATAATTTATAGCCACAGTTTTCTCACCTGTCAGATGGACATAATTTAAGCCCTAGCGACTGCACATTTTTTTGGTGGCTTTTAGATTTATACATGCATGGAAGCATTTCATAAAACTGGGTATTTTTCAGGCATAAAGCTTTCAAAGTAGCGGGAGCTCTGCGTTGACACGGAACCGCCATCAGATGCCAAGTCACGGCTCCTGAGGGATGCAGTGTGTGGAGACTGCAGCCACTTCACTTATTTTCTTTAAAAAAAAATCTGAGTCGGGGCTTCCCTTGTGGCGCAGTGGTTGAGGGTCCGCCTGCTGATGCAGGGGACGCGGGTTCGTGCCCCGGTCCGGGAGGATCCCACGTGCCGTGGAGGGGCTGGGCCGGGGTCCGCCTGCCGATGCAGGGGACGCGGGTTCGCGCCCCGGTCCGGGAGGATCCCACATGCCGCGGAGCGGCTGGGCCCGTGAGCCATGGCCGCTGGGCCTGCGCGTCCGGGGCCTGTGCTCCGCAACGGGAGAGGCCGCAGCAGTGAGAGGCCCGTGTACCGCAAAAAAAAAACAAAAAAACTGAGTGAATGTGGGAAAAAAACTGAGTAGATGATTGCGTGGTGCTCTTCTGGAGGTTTCCTTACCTGTGTGTCAGTTCTAATCCAGGCCCAGGGCGTTTCCTGCTCCCTGGGAAACCTTTTCTCCCTTCATCCCCTCCGCCACCCTGCAGGCGGGCGCACACACCCCTGTGGCCCCTGCCCAAGGCCCCAGCGGTGCCGTGTGTTTGTTGGGCTGGCAGTGCCGCCCTCAGAGTCTGAAAGAATTAACCCTTGCAAAGCGGGTTTGCTGCTTGACAGCTTCTGGGGGTGAAGGCACATTTCTGCAGCATCTTAATGGGGGAAATGCCATCCTGGTCCTTCCAGGCGGATTCCTGGTGCCTCCTTCGCCTTCCGGGCCCGTATCTGGCGACACTTCTGCCTGGTTCTGGTAAGAACAGGCCGAGTCCTGGTTCCGAGGTAGACAGGGGCCGAGTCAGGGCAGAAACTTCCGTGTTGTCACGTGTAAATGGAAGGCTGTGACCCTGGAGCTTCGCCTGTGCCCCGGGCCCCCCTGCAGTGTGGGGCCCAGGGCAGCTCATTGCAGCCTCGCAGACACGGGGCCGGGACCGCTGTGCTCACGTCCCCCCGCAAATGGACACTGGCTTGGAGAAGGGCCAGCGGGCTGGGCGGGCAGCGGGAAGGCCGGTTGGTGGGTGCACTGAGGCTGCAGGAGATGCCAGCAGAGGGACTGGAGTAGGCCTGCGTCCTTCCCCGAAGTTACCAGATCTTGGATGACAGGGCTGGACTCACAGAGGAAGAAGGAGGGAGACAAGGGCTGGAGCCTCTACTGGGAGGCTGGGGCGTGGCCAGGACTGTGTGACGGGCTGCCTGGAGCCCCGCCAGGGCACGGAGCAGGGAGACCAAGCGCTGGGAGCACAGACCTCAGAAAAGCCGCCCACGGAAATCGGGGATCCAGGAGCTCTTCCCTCAGTGTTTCCTGCCACTTGCTGCGATAATCGAGCACCCATTAGCACGGCTTGCCTCCTGGAAATTCCGAACCCGGTTGCGTCCACCTGCATCCAGAGGGTCTTGGTAAGTCGGGGTCACATAGACCACCTTGTCTGGCTGTACAGCCAAGGATGTAGGGCTGCCTTTTACGGAATGACCTTCCTGAGTGTCCGGGATGCTGTTTGCTGCCTGACGGCAAAGCCAGGGCGGGTGTGGAGCGCAGGCAGCAGGCTGGGGGCAGCAAAACCGAGGCCTAGGTGGTGGGGGCCTGCCCAGAGCCAGCGGAGTCCCGGGAAGGCATGCTGCAAGGCTCTGAGAAGCAGCCAGGAAGCCTTCCCCGGCGTCCGCAGGAGAGTTGTCAGGGCCGGACACCTGCGCCAGGCGAGGAAGGGGACAGTGCGTGTGATGCTCCAGTCCGGAAGTAATGGGGGAGTTACCTTTACCTCCTTCTGCTCATCAAAAATAATTGCTGCTTTTCTTTTTTGGTGCTAGCGTATGGGATTCCTGTTCTGTCTTCAGTTCAGTGGTCTCAATCGGGGTGAACTGGCCCTCTGCCCCGGGGGCCATGGGGCAGTGTCTGGTCACCACCTGTGCGGGCGTGAGTGCCACAGGCATCCAGAGCATAGCAGCCAGGGATGCTGCCAGACACCCCGCAGGGCACAGGACACCCTGAACGTCCCCGGGGCTGAGGTCAGGTCCCGGAGGTTCCTCCTTGTTTCCTTCCAGCCCATTTTGCAGACATCACACAGTGTGGTGTCTTTTGTGATGTGAACATACAGGATTCCCGTTCTGTTCCCAGATGTCCCCGACTTCTCACTGGTCTGTCTCATTTTAGCACTGTTATTCTAATTTGAGTATAAAAATACCTTGTTTAGGTCCTGAAACAGAACTTTTCCTACAGACTAACAGGTGTGAACAGGGACAAATAGCCCACATTCAAAAACCCTTACTTAAATTGGTCTTTAAGCAAGATTCACTGTAATGGCTAGTCTAGAGCCTGAAGAATATACGGATTCACACTTGGCCAAGAGAGAGAAAGAGAAACCCGTGCTGGCAGGAGACACCTTAATATACGGTATTTTAAGCAAGTTCAGCGTACGCATATCCAGATGTACGCAAGCGACGGACGTGAGCTCTGGCTTCCCACATACTCACACTCACGATAGACGCGCTGTTGAATTCCTCAAGCACAGAACGTGTTTAGACGAGGATCCTCCGCCTGGACTTCGTGTCTCCC